CTGGTCCCCTAATACGTCACCTTTTTTCCTATTCGGAACCCAAACTAAGATGGTTATATAAAATTTTACACTACTGAATATTGTAATCCTGCGGAAACACTCTTGCTGAATCATAAACAAACACGCCTACCCTCAACTTGTGTATAGTGTTCTACTATTAATGTTATGATCATTTCCTTCCGTTTATTACTCTAAACAATGATGCTATAATGAATGTTTCCTCATATGTATTTTTTACACATAGAAGCGCAAACTCTCTGCAAGTACTGGATATTATGCAAATTAGCATAACAACAAGAAATTCTTAGTCTATACATAAGATCGCCTGATCTTTGTTCTGATGCGTCGTGAGGATAACATTACGCAATGATCGCTGCTTCCACTAAAGAAAAAGATTGTTCCTCGTTATAACTAGCAAATTCTTACCAAGATGATGTAATTCTTGTTCACCTGCTAAATTGCCTCGCTTCTTTCCTAACCACCACTACGAACTAAACTATAGTGAGAGGCAAGAGGCAAATGAGCCTATTCTTAGAATTATCCCTCGATGATGATGATGTGAACCCTGCATTAATAAAATTACAAATAAATTCATTTTTGCACTCCACCCCGTCAAAAGATTTGCAATATGATTGACGTACTCACATATGAGATTTAGTGATTTCCAATCTCGCCTCAATGGTGGCATACACGAAATTTCAGAACAAATGCAATAAGTTCCGCAAATAAACATCTTTGTATTTTCTAGTCGCCCAAACTATTGTATAACGTTGTCCAACATCCAGAATCTAAATGAGGATCTCTACTGCTACTCGTCTTCATGGTAGTATTATATCCTTATTAATTTTTCCAATCGTCCTTCGTTAAAAAGGAGCCATAAGCTGCTAACCTTGGACTATCCATCCGAGCTCGTGTACTTACCTACAATTTTTTTATGACATAAGTTGCATAATTTTCTGCTGACTATTCCCGCATTCCTCTGCTTCTCGAAACAATGAGTGGCCCACCTAATTCACCACGCTAGTAATAACCAACTCTTTATGTATATGAATAAGATAATATGTGTGCAACAACCAAATCCAAAAATCAACCATTAAGGACGACCCGCTACAACAAAAGGTTCGCCATAATCTTGTCCAGGATCTCTGTATAGTTTTTTTTCCGTATTGTTTTCTTGTATGTCTACTTTCATATTTATGCTCTTGTTAACCGCGATCTTGGCTGACTGCTAAGTCTGGACGAATACTTGAATATTAGGATATGAAAACCTATTGCAGAGGTTGGTTCATTTTATTAAAGCTCTTAATAACTAATACAATGAATTGTCTGGTGATACATCATAATCTTTTATGACCCTAATTAGGATCTACCATACACTACATACAATCGTCCCGACTCCAATGATAAAAAAAGAACATTAACAAAATTTTGAACTAGAACTTACAAACAAAAGTGTGTGCATAAATGTATTTATAATTCCTTTCCTTTGCAAGAACATTACTAGCACCAGTGTTATTGGTTATATTTCTTAACGAATGTAATTACTTCGTGGATGTTCGTGACGAAATTTGACGAAAACGTGAAAAACCACTCATGGACGGACTTCGGTCAGCGTATGAAACATTGGCCTTGATTACTATCCCGGTGGATGTTAATTCGCCGCTATGTCAAAACCCTGTTTTCTTTTTATATGGTTACTTTCTCAAACGACCGACCTACGATATGAGCCCGACGCTTTGCATAGCGGTAATGATGGATGTCAAAGAAGGCAAAACCTCCGTAAACTAGCTGACATTTCTTGGGACATTACGGTATATACATACTTATATATACATACATAGATATTGTTCCCCTATCTACGCTTGCTATATATGCGATCAGGCTTCTAAAATTTGATAGTAATCACATCTGCGAGCATGTGATGTTTCAACATAAAATCAAGCCCTTGTAAATGAGCAAAACCAGGCGCTCGAATTTTACAACGTAATTACAGTAGCTCCCCAAAAACTCATTTGTCCCCATGGCAACACATATCCAATAAAAGCGGTTACATTTTATATACATACCTTTCAAAGTATAAACCGAAGACTGAACCTTACTAAACTTCTCCTTGGACATAATTAATGGTCCTACAACCAATACTTCGAATAGACAAAAGATGAAATTTTCAATAAAAATCTAGGCTACCAGAGTGGCCCGGGTCCATTGCCCGACCGGGCCAAAAAGAAATAAAAAAATAAAAAATACAAATTATTTGTTAATTAATTTTTATATTTTAAATTTGGTCACGAATTTCGATGTGACCCTGAGGCAAAAGTTGTTCGGTTTATTTTTCTGCATAACATAGTTGTTTTTCATATTTTTTTTTTTTGGCTGGGACCTTCCCTAGTCCTTGCACGGTCAAGCCGCTCGGGAAAATAGGGTGACCCGGGCGGCCCGGCTGGTAGACTAGATAAAAATTTCATCTGAGCCCATACATCTGACAATTGGCAGTACATCCCCTTCCCCACGATTCGTCTGGTGCTCCCGAATACATGTGCTATTCAGATTTAGGCTTGGTTAATACGCTACCAAATCCACTTCCTATGCTCAATCCCTTCGGAACTCTTGCAAAATAGATTGGCCAGTCAACTACAAACTACGCCGATTGTACACTTCCCTCGGAACCACCATTACAAGTAGATCCCGATCTCTATAAAGAACTTTTTTCTTAAAATAACAATAGATCTTAAAACTAAACTAGTATCGCCCCATCATGTGTTGTGTATGAAAGCCACACACCTGGCTTGGTTCGGATGGAGGACCTACCCCGGATGGGGTAGGTCCGACATTAAAAAAGACCTACCCCTCCGGAACTTCCATCACGAGGGTATGGGGAGGGACTCACACACACACACACACACACACACACATAAAAAAATAAAAATAAAAATTTAAAAAAAAAAAAAAAAA